TATTTCCCTAAGAAGTTACTATAAGAATATAGTAGGGAAATTATAGAGAAATACCTATACTTACCTAGGGAAAATACTAGGAAATACCGCTAATACGCTATACTACTATCGTACGATTATAAGGTTAAGATATTACTTAGTTAAAACCCTAAGTAAGGTCTTACGCTCGCTATAGTATATATAGAAGATTAAGAACCTATTAGATCTTAGGCGGGTAGAGAAGAATATAGATAGTTATTACTACTCTTACTTTAACTTATAAGACCGGTAGCTAGTCTATATTTAACGCGCGTAATAACGTATAGTAGCTAGTCTATATAATACGTTTAATTATATATAGTAGCTAGTCCGTTTAATTACCTATTAGACCTATACTAGATCTAGGTAAATAGTAAGGTTAATATACTAGCCCCGTACTAAGGGACTAGTGCTTAATATACTAGCTATTTAAAGGATCTATAGCGTATTCTAAAAGCTATCTTTTATTTATTAGTAGGGGTAACCCTAATCTTATAAAACGCTACTATAATATCTACCTTAGTAAACTACCTTAGCTTAGCTATAGTTTATAAGGTCTTACTTAGTAAGGGTAAGGGATAGCGGTCCCTCTTTATTATATAGTTTAAACCTTTATAATCTATATAAAAGTAGATACCTTTACTAAGCTTCTTTACTATAAGGACTAGTATTATAGCTAGTAAGCTACTAACTTTAATAAATCCCTTATTAAGTAGTTTTATAGGAGTCTTTTATAGTACTAATAGCTCCTTACGGGATATACTATAAAGCGGTCCCTAGGGTAGGGGCTTCTCTTAGCTATACTTATCTTTTAGGACTTTAATCTTTAGGTCTATATCTAGCTAATAAGGGGGTAGCTAGTCGGCTAGTTACTAAGAGTAAGCTTAAGACTATATATAGTACTATAGTAATAGCTTCTTTATTATATTAGTCTTTAGTTTTAGTCTTAGGGCCTTATTAATATCTACTATTATAACTAAGTAAACTTTAATATTACTTTTATATTTATTATAGCGTGCTTTTATTAAAAAGGTTATAGCTATAATATTAAAGACGTTTAGCTAAGGAGGCTAATAATATCGTTAGTCTTATACTTAAACTTTATTAAACCCGATCTTAAGATATCCTTCCTTTATATAGATATAAATATCTTAGTCTTTTATTTATTATTTACCTAAGATTATATCTTAGTTTAGATCGTCGATAATATATATAAAAATATAATACTACTAATATCTATTAAGGTCGATCGATATATATATAATCTTATTAATTTTAACCTCTTTACTATCTCCCGCTATATTCTCTAAGATATATAGCTAAACGTATATATATAGTAATTAATAAAAGTAAAATATATACTTACTAACCGCGCTATAGTAAAGGCAGCTATAGTTAATACGAGATAGTATAAAGTTTATACCGTTTACCTTAATATTTACTATAAACGGTTCTTTATTTATTTTTACTTTTTTACTTATATCCTATTCTCTTATAGCCGCTATATATCCTTAGTTTAAATCTTTATAGCTATAAGAAGAAGTATTATTTTTAGCGATCTTAGCTTTAGTAACTACTAGTTATAATAAGGTTATAGTATTAACCTAGGTACGTTAGGTTATATTTATAGGCTATATAGGCATAGCTAATAAGTAGCGCTTAATTTTATAGTTATCTCTTCTATAATAAAAGTAATGCCCTTTACGGTAATAGGCGTTTATCTTAGCCTAGTTAAATTACTTAGTATACTTTCTTAATAACGCTTAGTCCTTTAGTCGCTTAGATTAGTAGCTATATATATTCTTATTACTATAGGTATATATAGCGTTTACCTTTATAGATACTTATAAAGTTAGCTCTTATTTTATTATATCTCTTTATTTAATATCGGATTTCTAGCTAGACTATTTCTAAGAAGCCTAGCCTTTATAGTTCTAATAGTTCTTATAGTTATCTAAACTCTTTATTTTACCTTAGGGCCCTTTCTACTAACGTAATAGTTCTATCTAGCTACTTAGTAAATCGTACCTCCTTACTAGCCTAATATAGCTACTAATAATAAAGGGGTTAAAGCCTATAAGGGCTACTTTTATTTTATTATTTAGTACCTCCTTAAGGTAGGAAATCTTACTATTATTTAACTAATACTTAGTATTAGTATTAGCGATCCCCTTCTTAAAGTAAGGGTAAAAGGATATAAATAGTTTATTCTCTCCTTACTTAATCGAATATAGATTATATATAGCTCTTTACTTACGATCCCTCTCCTTATATAATAACTTAAAGCGGTTAAGTAGTTTAGTAATATTAAACGTTCTCTTCTTAGTTTATATCTCTATAAATATAGTTATATTATCTTTAGCCTTACCTTCTAGGCTTATAAAGATATATATAAAGTAGCCCTTTATATCTCTAAGGGCTTCTTTATTAACTTATAGTTTTCCTTTAGTTTTTAGTTTCTATCTTCGCTACTAAGCCTTATCGCCGTTAAATTTTAATATATCTTATAATTTAAGGCGCTTAGTTAGGTAAGGCTTATAAGTAGTAACTATATAGGTATCCTTAATAGGGATAGCTAGGGTAATAGATATCGTTAGCTTTAAGGGTTTAAATAAGTAGGCTTACTAGTATTATTAAGGTTTTAGGGTAATAAAACGTTCTTTAAACTAAGTATTTCTTTAGGAACTCTCTTCTCTTAGACTTTATATCTTAGTAACTAGGGCGCTAAAGACGTCTAGCTATATATTATTATTATCTTTAGCTATCGCGACTTTATTAAACGCTAATATTTTAATAGGACTTAGTTACTTTAGTACCTTTAATATCTTTAGTATCTTTAGTATCTTTAGTATCTTTAGTATCTTTAATGATCTTAATAGTATATAAAAGGCCTTTAGTAAGTTAATATAACTAACTAGTCCCTATATTATTTACTATTAAGATAGAGAAGAAAGAAAGAAAGAAAGAGAATTATAAGAAGGTAAGAGTAATAAGCGTAGAATCGGGTAATCGATAACGTAAGCGGAAAGATCGGTCGAAGGAGTATAGGGTAGGATTTTGTCTGGAATTTATAACGAGCATATAAGGGGCTGAATAATATATTAAAAGAATAGCGTTGTAAAAGATGCTTGTAAACTTACTTATTCTATCTACTACTCCTAGGGAAATCCTTCGTCTTTTATAGACCATTGCTCGCCTACTAGTAGACTAAGTAGTTAGCTTTCTAGCACATTCTATAGTGCTTAAAAAGCTCTATCTATAGTATATCTTCCTAACTTAGTAGGTGGTCTGATTATGGCGTGATGGTTAACGTAAGACTATGGGTTCTAGCATGAGTAGTAGATTTAACTAGAATGTTCTATGCCCTACCTATTCTCGTATCGCGGATATCTTCGGAACCGCTAGGCTAAAATAGGCAATAGGGTATCCGTTCTGCTCGTAATTGACTTATGCATTTTATGCATATTTTTGTTTATAAGGATAGGCTTATCCTAACCCTTTCCTAGAGGAAGGTATAGTTATCTAGTAGAGGTCTTTGTCTTTTAAGGGTTATTCCCTTAGACTATATTATAGAGCCTCTTTTTACTAGCTTATTCTATAAAGCCTCCCTATGCCTGTTATTTCTTTATAATAGTAAAATAGGAATATAAGTGTATATTCTTATAAGAATCTACTATATAAGGGTATAATAGTATTTTATAGCTTTAAGCTAATAAAAGGTTCTAGAAGCTAAGCGGCTTACTTATTATAGTACTAACGAAAGTATTAGTAAAACTAGCGGTTTATTTTCTCCTTAGGTAATATCTAGTTATTCCTTTAGCTTAGAAGGATATTATATATCTAAACGGCTATATAATAGACTTCTAGCTAGAGTTTATATAGTAGAAGGCCGAATATATAGGGTATTTATTACTAATTAATACCCTTAGGGCGCTTTATACTACTAGTTAGTTCCTTAGTATATAGTAGCGGAAGCTTAATATTAATACCTACCTCTATAGCTTAGATTTAGAACTTAGAGTTAAGTTAGAAGGGTAGGTTAATAATAGTCCTTTTATTATCGATCTTAATCTTATAGATCTATATACCTATATATTATTTAACTCGGGCTTTAAAGTCCTTAATAATCTAGCTAACTTCTATTTTTAAAGTTAAAGACTACGAAAATATTATACTACTATATTCGTCGGTAATAAGTAGAATATAGCGGTGTCTATTATAGGCTATAAGGAACTTAAAAATATTAATAAAGACCTAAAAGAATAGTTATCTTTATTTATTTAAGGATTCCCTATAAGAGATAATCTTAGTTACCTTACTAGTACTATAAGCTATATATTAAATAGTAGTTAGACCCTTAATCTAGATGCCCTTTACCTATAAGATAAGTTATTTAAGTGCTCTTAGCCCTATATAATAAGATCGGAGATACTAGGTTTTAGACGAATCTTGTTACGACCCGACCAACGGATGTTACGACCCGACCAACGGATGGCCATGACACGGGCCAGGGATGACTAACCGCTGAAGGATCACGTGACCATGCGAAAGGTGATCGGTGGATCGCCTTACGATCAAGCGAGCGGTGCTCGACGGATCGTTCATCGATCAAGGTGATCACCTCTGTGATCACCTCCAGCACCTCGCGATCAGAGACGGGCAGTTGGGTATATATAGCTGCCCCATTTCACTCCTTTAGACTAGATAGCTCTTTAGCTTTCAACACAATCATTACGATCCCTATCACGATCTCATCTCTGATTCCGATCACTTGATTACCTGGTTACAGTCTACGGTCTACGACCTCCGACTCATCACCAACGTGACATACTTATCATTGCTCAGACCACGCCCTGTTGTATCTGCCAACATAAACCCCACGACAGGTTTATCCCTTGGGAATATCACCGGTCGTCACACGTTGAAAGCTCTTGTTCAGAACGATACCGCGTCTCTCTGAGCAATATCGCATAACTGTCAACATGCCTGCACAGCAAACTGGATCAACCAACTCGGGACACACCGTGTCGCCGCAGGACATGATGCGCGAAATCATCAGCCTTCGACAGGAGGTCCAAGTGCTCAGGAACGGAGGAGGCAACGGACAAGTCAGGGACATCGGAGAAGCAGTCAAACCAAAACAGCCAGGACCATTCGACGGTACTCATGGCACGCTTCGAGACTTTCTCACCCAACTCAAAGCCTACCACCGATTCTATCCGACCAAGCTCTCGGACCCAGTCGAAAGATACTCCACGCAGGAAATTGTTTATCTGGAACGGCACTCGCCTGGTTTGGACCCATCATGAGGACTTTCTCGACAACCAACCAGCGCGACGAGACAACGAGACAGACGAAGTCTTTGCCAGTTTCCAAGGATTCGAAGAAGCCATTACGAAGGTATTCGGAACAACCGACGAGGAACGAGAGGCCGAACAGAAACTTCGAGAACTCCGACAAAGGATCTCAGCATCGGATTATGCTGCGAAGTTCCGTCAAGTCACCTCAAAGCTTGATTGGGACGACGAACCCTTATGTCACGATTCTACGACGGACTTAAAGAAGAAGTCAAGGACGAGCTCTACAAGGAAAATCGACCTGACAACCTCTCGGACTACATTGCTATGGCAGTACGAATCGACGACAGACAGTATGCGCGACGCCAAGAAAAGAAGCAAGGAAGAGGAAACTGGAACCCTTCCTATGGGAACAACTTCAACCGACGCGCCAACTACAAGAAGAAGCGCGAAACTCCCATTGCCTACGCCCACACAACTAACCCAGGCAGGATGGACCTGGACGCAACCCAAAAAAGCAAAGGAAAGTGTTTCAACTGCGGAAACTTGGACATTACTCCAAAGAATGCAGACAACCTCGCAAGGAGAAGAAAACCCACTGGGCCCCAGCCCCAGAAGGTAAGAAACACCTAAACGCTACTAACAAACAGGAACCAAAGCATGAACTCCTTAACTGGACTGCATGCTACGACGACAAATGTACGGTACACCTAAGCGACAAACAAGGTACCGGATGGTTTCCAAAACCAAAGAGAACCCTTGCAATGATGCAACGAAGGGATTCCACGACACCGAAACAAGTCAAATTCAGAGACAGAATATCCCTATCCTGAAGGAGTCTCACAAGACTGGATCAGGAAGAACGGCAAACGATTCCAGGAAGACATGCGAATTAAAGACCGACAGCAAAGACGGGCAGTCTACAAACAACATAACAAAGAGGACACGGACGCAGCCCTTATGCTCACAAACCCGGACAACAACCCGAAGAAGATCAACGGAGTGTCGACGACACAAGCTCTGAAGAACAAGAGACACGAAGAAACAGAAGACGAAAACGAACTCGCACCACCACCCTCACTACTAAGGAAAACGCCACGATTGGAGAACACGCCCATACTTCGAAGAATTCGAAGAGATGCTCAAAATGGAACCAGCAAATACCTCAAATTCTCACGGAAAACCAACAAGCTGCGATGATTCGATACCAACCGGCACCACGCGGAGGAGACTACGCTGTGGCTATCGCCGCGGTCGACACCTTTACAGCTCTACAACGAGAATGGCAACCACGAGGAGAATTTTCAGATGACCCAAGAACAGTGCTCAGTCACGAAGAGCACAAACATATTTCATGGATCTCATGCGTCTATTTGGACTGCATGATACACTTCTGAAGAAGGCACGACACAACGCTTTCCCAGTCAGATTCGACGGACAAATACTTTCGAAACCCTACCTAAGCACGGAACTGGACTACTGGAAAATCGATCAACGTTACCCGAACGACCAAGTCATGTTATTGGAACCCGATTACGGCACGCCACTTGAATGCCGCGATGATTACGGTTCTTTAACGAGATGTCTTTCGGAAACATGCAAAATCCACAAACACGCCAAAATTGGGGAATGGCACAACGCCACTCGCTCTAAGGCATCCGAACCATCTATCTTCACAAGACTCGCGCAACGAATCAGATGCGACGAAGAAGATTACAACGAATCTGCACCCGAACTGCAAAGTTCACGAACACGAAAAGGCACGAGCATGGCACAAACGACACAACGGTGCACCAAAGGACTACTGGCGACACCTACGAAGGCTACAAGCTACATTCGACCAAGGAAAATTAACGCAGAAGAACTACGCGCAAAACAGAAAGACGCAGAACGAAAACTCGATTCCTGGTACGAAAACGAACAGAATTGCGAAGCACGGTACGCAATCAACTGCGAAGCAGCACAATGCAAACAACACAGCGTTGAGAAACAAGAAATCTTCGATTGGCTACAAGAAATCAGTCTCTTGAGCCCCGACACGACACCACGCGACGAAAACATAAAGAAACGATATCAACAACAAATCGAAGAAGAATACCCAAATGAAACGAATAAGGACCAGGCAAAAAACGAGGTACGCCATCTGTAAAAGGGCTACAGACTGGCACGACACGACAAGATCAAGGACCCTATGCATGGCAACGGCAAGCCATGGCAACCAAATGGTATTGGACATCCAAATCGCGGGACATCACGTACACGCACTATTGGATTGCGGCGCGATGGGCAATTACGTTTCACCTAGAGTCATCAATCGTTACCGACTCCCATGGAGACACAAGAAAGATCTATATAAACTCACGAATATCGAAGGAGAGGCCTTTAACTATAATAACGGAATCATTGATATGGAGATTGATCACCTCGACATCAATATCCAGGGCCACGACGAACGAGTCGACTTCGACATCATGGACATTGGAGAACACGACCTTGTGTTAGGGCTTCCATGGTTACAGGAGAGCAACCCACTGATCAACTGGAAAACTGGCCAGCTGCGTTGGAACGACGACGCAAGTTTCCAAGACCAGCAGATTTGGGAGAAAGCAAAATTTTGCGATGATTTAGCCACTGAACAGGACGAAAGGGATGACCGTTCAAGCAAATCATTACGGGCTTCAGCGATACAAACGAAAACAGCAACCGAACCGGCGGACACAACAAAATCGACTGACAAGACCCACGTACTGACCAACACGGCTGTACAACCTGGCATCCGACATAAACAGAACAAAGGACACAACAAGAAGATCCGAAGAGTTATTGCCACTCTAAGGAAAGACCTCGAACAAATCAACAAAGAGCTCGAGTCAAGGGAAACCAGCTCTCAAAAGAAAGAACAAAGCCCACAAGACAGAATGAAGAACATCCCACAGGAATACCGGAAATACGACAAACTCTTCAAGGAAGAACTCGAGACAGGGTTACCTAAATATAGCTAATAGGACCACGAAATTTGTCTCAAAGATGGAAGAACGCCGACGTTCCATAAGATTTACAACCTAAACGAAAAGCAACTGCAAACGCTACGCGACTACCTCGACGAGAATCTACGAAAGGGATACATACGAACATCAACATCCGAAGCAGGCTACCCAGTCATGTTTGTTCCAAAGAAAACGGCAAGCTACGACTAGTTGTCGACTACAGACGCCTAAACGATATTACAATGAAGGACCGAACACCATTACCGCTTATATCGGAACTACGAGATCGACTGCACGGCAAAAAATGGTTTACAGCCCTCGATCTCAAAGGCGCCTACAACTTAATACGCATGAAGAAGGGACACGAATGGATGACAGCTTTCAGAACGAAATTCGGACTATTCGAATATCTGGTAATGCCATTTGGACTCACAAATGCACCAGCTACCTTCAACGGATGATCAACAATGTCCTACGCGAACACTTGGACATCTTTGTGGTAGTATACCTGGATGATATCCTAATCTTCTCGGACACCTAGAAGAACACAAGGAACACGTCCACAAGGTACTCCGCGCACTTCAGAATGCGAAGTTACTGGTTGAACCAGAAAAAAGCAAGTTCCACACACAGGAAGTAGATTTCCTCGGACACACGATCTCACCAGGAGAGATACGAATGCAACAAGACAAGATCAACTCAGTCAAAGAATGGCCAACGCCAAAGAACGTCAAGGACGTACAAAGTTTCCTAGGATTTGCGAATTACTACCGACGATTCATCAAAGATTTCGGAAAGATTGCAACACCACTACACGACTTAACGAAGAAGGAAAAAGAGTTTACATGGGACGACAAAGCCAACGAAGCTTTCAGCATCAAAACGACGATTACGCAAGAACCGGTCTTAACCACCTTCGATCCAGAACGACAAATCGAACTCGAAACCGATGCATCAGACTTTGCTCTAGGAGCACAAATCGGACAGAAGGACGATGAAGGAAGACTACGACCAATTGCATTCTACTCGAAAAAGCTACATGGCGCAGAACTCAATTACCCCATCTACGACAAAGAATTCCTCGCAATCATTCAAGCTTTTAAGGAATTTCGACACTACCTTCTCGGAAGCAAACACAAAATCAAGGTCTACACAGATCACAAAAACATCTCACATTTCGCGACGACGCAACAATTGAACGGACGACAGATCCGATGGGCCGAATGTCTATCAGAATTCGACTACGAAATAATCCACAGAAAAGGAACAGAAAACGGTCGAGCTGATGCCCTCAGCCGACGATCCGACTACGACACAGGAGCACCTATTGTGAAAGGACAACTCCTTGAGCTCAACAATGAAGGAATATGCAACAACGACAGCTTAACGCAATCTTCAAGGTCAATCCAGACGAAGGCCTTACGAAGAAGATCCAACAAGCCTACGATAAGGTTGATTGGGAACCACTTCCAGTTGTTTGGGAAGATGGCCTGGCAAAGCATCAAGGAAAGATCTTTGTACCAGAAGAACTTCAGGACGAAGTTATACGCGAAATTCACGAACACCCGACACACGGACACCAAGGAATCCGGAGGACGATGGAAAGAATTCGACGAATCTACGACTTTCCACGGATGAAGAAACGAATCAGCGAAACTATCAGAAAATGCGAACTTTGCGCACGAAGCAAAGCTGAACGACACAAGCCATACGGAGAATTACAACCACTACCAGTACCAGAAAAACCATGGGATTCAATAGCTTTCGACCATGTCACGAAGCTACCACTGTCAAAAGAACCCATGACCAACGTCAAGTACGACAGCATATTCGTCATTACCGACAGATTGACGAAGTACGGATACTTCTTGCCGTACAAAGAAGCAAGCAATGCAGAAGAGCTAGCATATGTGTTCCTACGAACTATTGTCAGCAATCACGGACTACCGAACGAGATTGTCTCTGACAGAGGAAGCACATTTGTGGCCAAGTTTTGCAAGCTCTCATGGCACAATTGGGGACGAAACATAAGCTCAGCACAGCTTATCACCCACAAACAGATGGACAAACAGAACGACTCAACCAAACGCTTGAACAATATTTACGATGCTACATCAGCTACGAACAAAACGATTGGGTTAAATGGCTACCGACGGCACAACTAGCTTACAACAGCTCAGTCACAGAGACAACCAAGCTCTCACCAGCATACGCCAATTACGGATACAACCCAGAAGCATTCAAGGTCACTCGACAAGGACCACAAGCGGAACGAGCGATACTGCAAGCAGATCAGCTACGAAAATTGCATAAAGAAATGCAACAAGAACTTCAATTCGTCAGAGAACGAATGTCCACTCACTACAATCGGAAAAGATTGCAGGGACCAATCTTTCAAGAGGAGACATGGTCTACCTCGTACGACGAAACATCAAAACAAAACGACCAAGCAACAAATTGGATTTCAAGAAACTTGGACCGTTCAAAGTCAAGAAAACCATTTCAAAAGTCAACTACGAACTTTCGCTACCAACAACAATGCGGATACACCCGATATTTCATATCTCATTATTGGAACCAGCACCACGAAACGCCAAACCACAGGAAAAATCGAAGTCGACGACGATCAAGAATACGAAGCAGAAC